TTGAGAATCAAACACAAGGCCTCAAGCATGTTAGGTAAGCTCTCTAACACTGAGCCATATAATTTTCAGGTACAACTTCTTTATTATGTTTAATTCTCCTTTTTAAAAATGTTTTAAAGCTAGGTGCCAGTGGCTCATACCTGTAATCCTAGCTACTCATAAGATTGAGATCTGAGGATCTCTTTTCAAACCCAGCCAGGGCAGCAAAATCTGTGAGACTCTTATCTCCAATAAACCACTCAGAAAACCTGAAATGGTGCAGTGTGGCTCAAGTGGTAGAGCGCTAGCCTTGAGCTGAAGAGCTGAAGCACAGAGTCTAGGCCCTGAGTACAAGCCCTATGACATACAAAAAAGTTCCAAATTGTTATTATAAAGTGATATACAGAGGGGTTACAGTTACATGAATCAGATAAAGAGTAATTTCTTTTTGAACATTCTCACCCTGTTTAATTCTTCTTTTTTTTTTTTTTAAACACCCTTCCTGCGGAGTACCAGTGGCTCACACCTCTAATTCTAGCTACTCAGGAGGCTGAGACCTGAGGATTATAGTTTAAAGCCAGCCTGGGCAGGAGACTCTTATCTCCAGTTAACCCCCAGAAAACCAGAGGTGGCACTGTGGCTCAAAATGGTAGAGTGCTAGTCTTGAGTGAAAGAGCTCAGGGACAGCACCCAGGCCCTGAGTACAAGCCCCAGACAACCAACAAAAAACAAATGAACAACAACAAAAACAAACAAACAAACAAAAAACCCTCTTCCTGTTCTTCACGTGGGAAGGGAAGGAGATTTGGATCACACAACACCGTCTGGATGAGGTCTTGCCCTGAAGACCAGTTGTCCCAGGAAATGGAAAAGGGTTAATCTTTGTTCTCAAAGGGCCAGAATTCACACTGGAATGGTTCTGCTGCTAACTTTGGTGACATAATTGTGACTAAGCCAGAACACAATGAGTCATCCATGGTAGGCAAGGTGCCCTTTTCCCCTTTCCCCTTCTGAGCTGGCCCAGGGGTAAGGTGAGATAGATCAAGAGACCTGTGTTATTCATTAGACAGGGCTTTTTTTGTTTTGGGAGGTGGAGATTGAAACTCAGGCCCTAGCATTTGCAAAGCAAGCACTCTACTGTTTAAACTGTGCCCAGCCAAGTTTTTTCACATGTAGATTTCTGCCACCTCCTTAGCCCTCAATTTCCATTCCAGAAATTTGAGGGTAAGGCAAAGCTACCAGCGTTCTTTTAGGGATTCAATTCCCAGTTCCTCAGCATCTGTGTATCACCAGAAAAGTTGTGTGCTTCTGTTTACTTATCTGTAAAATACAGATAGCTATATGATGCTAGCCCCTGAGATTGGAGAGAAGGGGCACTGGTAACTCTTGCCTTTAATTCTAGCTACCAGCAAAAATCTAGGAGTGGAATTGTGGTTCAAGTGTAGAGCACCAGCCTTTTTTGTTTGTTTGTTTTGTTTTGCCAGTTCTAAGGCTTGAACTCAGAGCCCGGGCACTGTCTCTGAGCTTCTTTTGCTGAAGGCTAGCATTCTACCCCTTGAGCCACAATGCCACTTCTGGCTTTTTCTGTTTAGGTGGTACTGAGGAAGCAAACCCAGGGCTTCATGCATATTAGGCAAGCATTCTACCACTAAGCCACATTCTCATCCAACCACCAGCCTTGAGTGAAAACATTAAGGGAGGGTGCTCAGGCTCTGAGTTCAAGCCCCAGTACCTGCATCAAAAAACAAAACAAAACAAAACAAAAAACTGGGTGCTCATGGCTCATGTCTGTAATCCTAGCTACTCAGGAGGCTGAGATTTGAGGATCACAGTTCAAAGCCAGCCTTGGAGGCAGGAAAGTCTGTAAGATTTTTATCTTTAATTAACCACTAGAAAACAGGAACCAGAAATGGTGCTGTGGCTCAAAGTGGCAGAGCACTAATCTTGAGCAGAAGAGCTTACAGACAAGTACTTAGGTCCTGAGTTCAAGCCCTATGACCAAAAAAGGATTATTTAAAAAACAACAACACAGGATTCATATAGGAGTAGTTAGGGTGAGACTACAGTTTGGTTCTGTGTTGTGTGTTGTGGGAGTTGGTTTTTTTTTTGTTTGTTTTGTTTTTTTTTGGTCAGTCAAGGGGCTTGAACTCTGAGCCTGGGTGCTGTCCCTCAGCTCTTCAGCTCAAGGCTAGCACTCTACCAATTGAGCCACAGCACCACTTCCAGTTTTCTGAGTGGTTTATTAGAGATAGAAGTCCCACAGTGGGCTGGGAGGGTGGCTCAGTGGTAGAGTGCTTGCCTTGCATGCATGAGGCCCTGGGTTCGATTCCTCAGCACCACATAAGCAAAAAAGAAAAAAGCCGGAAGTGGCACTGTGGCTCAAGTGGTAGAGCGCTAGGTCAGGCCCAGAGTTCAGGCCCCACGACTAGACCCCTTCCCTCCCCCCCCCCCCCTGCCAAAAAAAAAGTCCCATAGACTTTTCCTGCCTAGCTGGTTTTTGAGCCCCAATCTTCAGATCTCAGCCTCCTGAGTAGCTAGGATTACAGGTGTGAGTCACTGGTACCCGGCTTGCTATGGGAGTTTTAAATCCTGAAGGCTGTGAAAAGTTGTTTGTTTTTTTTGGCTGGTCATGGGGTCTGGGCCTGGGCGCTGTCCCTCAGCTATTCAACTCAAGGTGAGCACTCTACCATTTGAGCCACAGTGCCACTTATAGCTTTTTCTGCTTATGTGGTGCTGAGAAATTGAACCCAGAGCCTCATGCATACAAGGCAAGCACTCTACCACTGAGCCACCTTCCCAGACCCTGTGAAAAGTTTTATATTTTAGAAAACACACTAACAGCCAGGTGCCAGTGGCTCAAGTGGTAGAATGCTTGCCTTGAGCTGAAGAGCTGAGGAACAGTACCCAGACCCAGAGTTCAAGCCCCACAACTGACAAAACAAAACAAAACACTAAACACTAACAGCTTTATGCAATGCAATTAGGGACCATAAGACTAAGTAACGGGCTGGAAGGGTGGCTCAGTGGTAGAGTGTTTGCCTTGCATGCTTGAGGCCCTGGGTTCAATTCCTCAGCACCACATAAGCAGAAAAAGTGGGAAGTGACGCTGTGACTCAAGTGGTAGAGCACTAGCCTTGAGCTGAAGAGCTGAGGGACAGCACCCAGGCCCAGAGTTCAGGCCCCACTACCAAAAAGAAAAAAAAAAAGACTAAATAACCACAGTTAGGCATGCTATCAACAGGAATATAGTCAAGAAACCATCATGGTCATGTGTGGTAGTAAACACCTGTAATCCTAATACTTAAGAGATGGAGGCAGGGAGCAAACTGTAGGCCAGCCTAGGAGAGAGAGAAGGATTGTGGGAGTAAAGGATCAGCAATGTAGTGATTAGAACATGTCTATGGTCACAATTTAGGGTTTAGAAAAATCTGGGCAGGGATGTAGGGCTTTAATAGAGAGGACACTCCATTCTTCTGTCTGGCTGGATATACTTAATTCTCTTAAGCCTGAATCATCTTTCCACTTGCCATCTCTTTTGGAAGACCTTTTGGATCTCTCTCTGCAATCTAAGTAATATTTGTATTTTTGTCTGTTTCTCATCATTTGTGTGTGTGTATGTGTGCGCGCTTGTGCGTGCACGCGCACGCATGCTGGTCCTCTTTTGCTTAAGGCTAGTACTCTGCCACTTAAGCCACCCCTCCACTTCTGGCTTTTTTTAGCGGTTAACTGGAGATAAGAGTTTTACAGATTTTCCTGTCCAGGCTGACTCTGAAACCTGTTCCTCCGATCTCAGCCTACTGAGTAGTTAGTATTACAGGCATGAGCCACTAGCGCCTGGCTTCACATTGGTTTTGCCATTCCTTATTAATTCCTCATTTTTTTCCTGGTCCCTTCTTACTGGTCTATGGATTTGGTGACAACACTGCCCAGTTTTGATCACCATTGGACTGGGAAGGTAGTGCAATGCCAGTACTATTTTCAGAATCAATCAATGAAAATAAGAACTTTAAAGGTGACAAGCTAGATCCTCAAAAAAAGACCAGCCTGTCAGGAAGTCTTCCTATGAACTCAGGCCCTAAGGCCCTGTTAATTTTTCTTGCTTGTTTTAATTCAGGCCCTGGCTCTTGCCAGGCAGGCATTTTATCACTTGAACTACACACCCAATCCTCATCCTCATACTTTTTTTCCTTTTTTTTTTTTTTTTCGGTCAGTCGTGGGGCTTGAACCCAGAGCCTGGGCGTTGTCCCTGAGCTCTTCTGCTCAAGTCTACCACTTTGAGCCACAGCAACACTTCTGGTTCCGGTTTTCTGGTGGTTAATAGAAGAAAATAGTCTCCCAGACTTTACTGCCCAGGCTGGCTTTGAACCATGATCCTCAGGCCTCAGCCTCCTGAGTAACCCCAGGAGCCACCTGAGCCACCAGTGTCCGGCTCTACTCCAATTCTTTTTTTTTTTTTTTTTTTTTTTAAATTTTTTATTATCTTTAGGTAGTTGTACAAAGGAGTTTCAATTCAATATGTCAGTTTATGAATATAATGTATCTTGAACAATGTCCACATATGTCCATTGACTATTATGAGTATATTTGTTTATTCTTCCTCTCTTTTTTTTTTTTTGTTTATGTGGTGCTGAGGAATTGAACCCAGGGCCTCAGGCATGCAAGGCAAGTGCTCTACCACTGAGCCAACTTCCCAGCCCTCTACTCCAATTCTTGCCTGGCAGTTCCTACTTATGGGAAGCTCGAAGCAAGGTGGAAAGAAGAGGGCCAAAGCCCACTCAGCACACACAAATGCCCAAACTGCAACTGAGGCTCCGCCCCTGAGCCCTAGACTCCGCCTTCCTCTCGCCCGCAGTCTGGATTCGCGCCAGGCGGCGCCGCCCAGGAAGTCGCATGCGCAGTGCACACTCCAGAGCTCTTTTGCCCTTCTCCCAATGGCGGGCGACGGTCCCCTTCCCGGCAGCCTCCCTCGGGGTAGGGAGCGCGTCATTTCCGGTGGGGAAGGCCCGCGGCCGCCGCCGCCATTTCAGGCGCTTCTGTGAGGCTGAGACCGAAGCCGGTCCGCTGGGCGGCGGGGCGGCGGGGCTGGAGGGGCGCGCGTGGCGGCGGCGGCGGCGGCGGCCCAGCGTGTAGGCGCGGAGGCGGCCATGGCGGGCAACTTCGACTCGGAGGAGAGGAGTAGCTGGTACTGGGGGCGGTTGAGCCGACAGGAGGCGGTGGCGCTGTTGCAGGGCCAGCGGCACGGGGTGTTCCTGGTGCGGGACTCGAGCACCAGCCCCGGGGACTATGTGCTCAGCGTGTCCGAGAACTCGCGCGTCTCCCACTACATCATCAACAGCAGCGGCCCGCGCCCGCCGGTGCCACCGTCGCCCGCTCAGCCTCCGCCCGGTGAGGGACCGACGGACGGACGGACGGACGGACGGACGGGCGGCCCCGGGCGGGGTGGGGGTGGGGGTGGACTGCGGAACTCCCAGCCGGGCCCGGCGGCTGCTCCCGGCGAGCGGACCTGCACGAGGGACGTGGGGCAGGAAGGCCGGTTCCCACGGAGGAGAGGGCGTGCGGGAGCGTGTGGGGGAGGAGAGGCCACTGACCCGGGCCTCAGGGTGTGCCTGGAGGACGACCCGGCCCGGGGGAAGGGGAACTGCTTCGGCCCCAGGGTGGGGCTAGCGCCCGAGGCCGGCACCGGGACTGGGGCCGAGCCAGGCAACGTGGTGACAAAGGGCTTGAGGGGGTGGGGGGGATGTTGGCACTGCGGGGGCATCACTTTGGCAGCGGTGCTCAGAATGAATCCCATAATCCTACAAGTGGCTTTTAGGTTGGAAACATTTCCTGTAGTGTTGGGGAGAGCTGGGTTTGGCCCTACTCCCCTGGTGGCCTTCGGTAGGAAGTCACCACATACTGGCCGGGAGGGATGGAGACACCCTCAGGAAACCCGGTCAGCTTTTTCCTTTCTTGGGCATTTTTCCAGAAGGCTTTTTACCGTTCTCTTTCCCCCTGGGGAGGAGGAAGGTGGTGAATCAAGTGCTTTGGTGGTAGAAGAAAGCCATCTAGGACCAGACCGGCCTAAGTGAATGCCTGGCTGGCTGTGTCCCAGACATTTTTAAGGTTCAGAAGATGCTCCACTGCATTTAGGAGCTGCTCCTTTTCAAAGTGCTTAGCGGAGGAAAAGATTGTTATTTAACGAGACAAAAGCGAGTGGAAACAATCCCTTTCCGCAGAATGAACAGAGCTTCATTTTCCTTGGGCTTCAACGTTTGTCAGTCCTGTCCTCCCTGGTCCATTCCTTACCCAGGAAGTGGGTAAGACTGTGGCTCAGTCTTCATGGATATCAGGAACAGACTGTTGGGAAGATCCTTAGAGAAGTTAACCGATCCTACTGAATCTTCCCTGTCAGAGATCATGGAGATGTGATTCTTGTACATTATTGGATTTAATTGGGGAATGTTAAGGAAACATGGGATGTAGGGTAATTCAGAGATACTTAGAGTAGTAATCTCTATGTGCAGATCTGAAACAACACCAAAGGTCCTAAGTGCCTTCTCACTGTAGATGGAAGCAGTTTCCTCCTGACCAGCTGAGATTATATCCAGTCCAGGCTCGTGTGAGTTAGGAGGCTTCTGGGCCAGCCTTAGTAGACTTGTTCTTTTAGGGTAGTTCCAGTTTAGATTTACATACTGTAGCTAGAAGATGGATAGGTAGGCACTTTATTTAAAAAAAAAAAAAAAAGTGGGGACTTAAGTTCACAAATTATCCTATATCTTTCTCAGTGCTGTAATGTTTATTTGCCCTAAACCAGATAAATCCTGCTTCAGTTCTAGCTACAAGGTATCCAAGTTTTCTACTAAATGCATTAACAGGATGGCATAATGTTATTGAAATTCAACTTTCAGCCTTTTGTTTATGCATGCATTTTGTTGATTAGCTTGATTATTCCTCCATACTTTTGGCATTGTGATTTTATATTTCAGTACTTGATATTGAGCTCCACCTTTACAAAACAGATAAGTGTTCAGATCCTGAAGTAAAGATTACCAGAGTTAGTAGATGGGGTGTGGAAAGTTCATGGGCATTATGGTAATTCTTTATTCTGCCATGTGTTCCATTTTCTGTATAGTTATTGATTCAGTTGCTGTCTTTATAGTGAATACTTAGTCTTTGTTTTCCCTATCAAATTCTTTTTCTTTTGAAGCCATACAGGAATTTCTTGAATTTCAGAGAGGCATATACAACCACACAGGAATTTCTTGAATTTCAGAGAGGCATATACAATATTAATGGCTTACATTTATTGACTGGTTATTCTATGTCATGTACTTTGCTAAGTACTTTACATGTGCCTTATCTCATTTACTATAATAATAGCAAAATATTGTGATCATTAAAAAGATTTGCACCTTATGGAGGAGTGAACTGAGAGTCAGATTTAGTAAATTGCCTCAAGTCACACAGCTCATATGTGACTGACTAGAATTGGAGCGCAGGAATTTGGATATGAGAACTGAGCCTTTTACTTCTTACTCTTTCCTTGGGATTCCAGCAATGTGCACAAAAGATTCTCTTTGACAGTTGTCTCTGCTCTGGGGTCCCAGGTTATGTTTAAAGATCAAAAAGAAAGGGCTAGCGAGAGAAAAACTGGCTTTAGTGTATAGATAATACACATCAAAGTCAGTCATGGAGCATGACTGCCTAACATACACAAGGCCCTGTGTTTAAGCCCTAAACAATATGGCACATTGAGTATGTGTAAGAGAAACTTTTTACTAAGGGTTATATAGTGTAGTATATACATCTGGTAGGTATAATTTGTAGGGAATGGCATAGGTGTAGAAGTTCTAGGGGTAGAATAGGTCCAAGGATTCACAACCTTTTTTTTGGGGGGGGGGGGTGTGGTAGTGGGGTCTGAACTCTAGGCCTGGGCGCTGTCCCTCAGCTCTTCAGCTCAAGGCTAGTGCTCTACCACTTGAGCCACAACGCCACTTCCGGCTTTTTTTTCTGCTTATGTGGTGCTGAGGAATTGAACCCAGGGCCTCATGCATGCAAGGCAAGTGCTCTACCACTGAGCCACCTTCCCAGCCCCTTTTTAAAACCTTTTTGAGTGGCCTGTTTTGACTTACCTTAGTTCTTTTGCTCCTCCAAGGCCGGCTGTGCTGCTATAGCTTGAGAATCCCTTATTGTGCCCCAGAGTCAGATTGGGTAAACATCAGATAATTTAGTTCACAGTTGCTTCTAATGGTCCTATAAAGGACTATTGGACTTTAAGTTTTATTTATTTCATTTATGTGGTATGGAGGAATTGAACCCAGGGCCTCATGCATTCTAGGCAAGCACTCTACAATAAGCCACATTCCTAGCCCACTTTGTAACTATGGACAAGTTATATAACATTTCCCTTGTTTTAGGTTCCTTGTCTGTGAAAGAGAGAATACTGCCTTACAGAGTTAAGCTGGAACACATTAAATACTTAGGAACATAATACGCATATTAAGTACTTGAAAGTTGTAAGTATTAATGTTATGAACATAATTAGAGTAGTTGAAACAAAATTGAAAAACAGCTAGAGGTGTGGCTCAGCTGTAGAGTACCTGCCCAGCGAGTTCAAACTTTAATGCAGCAAAAAAAAGAAAAATCATTCTCAGTTTTGATGCTCATTGGCTTACACAGCATGGGTTGGTAAACACTGGTGAAACGTGCCTCTAGAAACAGTGCTAGAGAGGAAGAGATGGGATACATGAAGAAATGTGGAAGACAGAGGTAGTCTAATGCTGTTCTCAGGCAAAAATCAAGAACCTTTCTGGAAAAAAAAAAACCTAAAGCACAAAAGGGCTAGAAGTGATAGAATGCTTGTCTAGTCAAGTGTAGGCCCCACGTAAAAATCCCAGTGTCTCCAAGGGGAAAAAGTGGTGAAAGAACTTGGGATTTGTTTTGTGACAGCATGGTACTTGGTGCTACCTTCTCAGCCCAAAGCCTACCCCCTATTGCCCTAATGGGTTAGGAAGCATAAAACACCTGGGGCCTGGGGCCAGTGGCTCACAACTGTAATCCTCGCTACTCAGGAGGCTGAGATCTGAGGATCCTGATTTGAAGCCAGCCCAAGCAGGAAAATCCATGAGACTCTATCTCCAATAAACTACTCAGAAAAAAACCAGAAATGGTGCTGTGGCTCAAGTGGTAGAGTGCTAGCATTGAGCACAAAGGTCTTGGACAGTCCCCAGGACCAGCAAAGAGAAAAAAAAAACTTACTGGAGCTTCATGACATGTATAATCCCAGCTACTAGGGAATGGGCATCACAGTTCAAAGTCAACCTGGACAGGAAGTTACTGAGATCCCCATGAGAATAAACAAGTTGGGCTTGGTGGTGCAAATCTTCAATCTTAGCACTGTGGAAAGCATAGCTAAAAGGATTGTCCTTGAAAGTGTCCTGGGCATAAGGCTCAAGACTTTATGGGGAAAGTAACTAAAGCCAAAAAGACTAGAAAAATGGCTAAGTTAGAGCACTGGCTAGTTAAGTGCAAAGCCCCGAGTTCAAACCCCAGTACTCAAAAAAAAAGTTTGACTCTGGCTGGGCAGGCAGCTTCCATTTGCCTAGCAAGATCCTGGCTTTTGGGAGATGGTGAACAGAAGTTGGGTGGTAATTGTTCTTGATTCCTTTTCAAGTTAGTGCTGGCCAGGCCACTTCTCTGGCTCATTACCCAGTGCCTGCTTTGTCACCTTCAGCTTCTGTATCTTGTTAACTTTATAATTCACAAGCTTGCTTTTCCTGTCTTAATCTCCAGAATTAGATCCTTCCTTTAGTAGTTTCAGGGAAATTCTACACTGTGTTAGTTGGAAATTTTGCACCAAAGAATAATCCATGATAAAACAAAATTGATTTATTTATTGAAAGATTTTTTCCAAATCTTTGTTATACTCATGTATAAGAGGAAGTGCTGAGGTTTTCAACCTCTGATCATATATTTGATGTAAATGAATAAAAGGCTAAGATACAGAGAAGTTGGAAATCAGCTCATATAACTAGTACATGAGGGCCAGAGTCTGAATCTGCAGAGTTCTGTGCTGATGATATCCAATGGCTAGATGACCATATTTCTCTGTAGTCTTTAGAATTCCTTCTCAGCAGCCTTTTACTCATTATTGGAATGTAAATACCATAGGAAGAGATGGAATAGGAATGTAAGAGAAAGTCGTGTGGTATTCAATCAAAAAAGGCTAGCTGGGGGGCTGGGAAGGTGGCTCGTGGTGGAGCGCTTGCCTTGCATGCCTGAGGCCCTGGGTTCGATTCCTCAGCACCACATAAGCAAAAAAAAGAAAAAAGCCGGAAGTGGTGCTGTGGCTCAAGTGGTAGAGCGCTAGCCTTGAGCTGAAGAGCTGAGGGACAGCACCCAGACCCAGAGTTCAGGCCCACAACCAGACCCCCCCCAAAAAAAAAAAAAAAAAAGGCTAGCTGGGTGCTGGTGGCTCACGCCTATAATCCTAGCTACTCAGGAGACTAAGATCTGAGGATTGAGGTTGAAAGCCAGCCAGGGCAAGGAAAGTCCAATTAACCACCAGAAAACCAGTGCTGTGGCTCAAGTGGTAGAGCACTTGCCTTGAGCTGAAGAGCTGAGGGACAACGCCCAGGCTCAGAGTTCAAGCCCCATGACTAACCAAAAAAAAAAGGCTAACCATGTCCCTGAGCATGAGATTCAGGAAGGGGAATTGGTGGTGTCTTGCTAGAGGCTCAGAGAGCCTCAGATATTCATAAAATCTGAGGGCTAAAGTGCTTAGAAGAAATCCCTTGATCAGATACAGAGAAGCCAAAAGGATATTCAGCTGCTTGCCTTGATTTTTATTTCTGGTTGTGTTAATTCATAATTACACATTCAGAACTCAGCCTGGTTTTTAAGTCCTAGATAGCTATGAGAATTCTGTCAATTCTATCCTCAAGACTGACTGACTATAACTCCTTCTTTCCCATCCTTCTATTTTCTGCGTTTGGCTGTTTGTGGTTGGAAGGCGAGAAAAGAGCCAGATCACATAGCTGTGGTGAGGTTTGGACTTATCAGGGATTTATATATATTATTTTCTCCTAGCTTCCCTCTGGAGTTTGGATCAGTGGAACTTGCTTGCCCTGTATATTTCTGATTGTCCAATAGTAAACAAAACCATGCGTTCCTCTGGAATTATTATAGCATTAGTAACACAGAAAGAATAACTTATGGGTAAAACATGCCAATGATTTCCTTTGGTGTTTTCTTGTATTTCTGTGCTGGAGTTGCCAAGTGAAAAAATAAATGGAAGTCAATGAGACCAGCTTACACCATGTAGCGTTAGAATAAGAGGTTAAACCCACTTCTTTCTTTTCTTTGTGCCAGAGGAGCTGCCAATTTTTTTTCACACTGATCTTGAAAGGACATGGCTTAGTGGTCATACTTGTTCTTCTAATATTCCCCACCACTACCACCCTCCGTAGAAAAACACAGGTTTCACTTGGCCTAGTACAGTAATAGAGGAACAATAACAATGGATGACAGGGAGTGGTTACTTTCCTTTTTAGAGTAAAAAGTGTTCTGATCATAGGTGATCAGAATTGCCTTTTTCTTTGTGAGTTATTGTGTGTCAGGATAGTTTATTGTTATTGTTGCTGCTAATTTTTATAGGTACACGCCTCTTTTTTTTGGGGGGGGGGTCCGATCGGGAGGCCTGGGCACTGTCCCTCAGCTCTTCAGCTCAAGGCTAGTGCTCTACCACTTGCGCCACGGCGCCACTTCCAGCTTTTTTTCTTTTTTCTTATGTGGTGCTGAGGAATTGAACCCAGGGCCTCATGCATGCAAGGCAAGCGCTCTACCGCTGAGCCACCTTCCCAGCCCCACACCTCTTTTTAAAATAAAAGCTGGCCTTGGGGGAATGTCTTCCTGAGACATGCTGCCTTTGTTCCTTGCTAAGCAACCATGTATATACATGCCTTTCACTATTCTGTGAACCGCTAAAAACTGGAAATGGATTTTTATTTAGTTTCTTTCCCTAATGTCATTAAGAATAGGATATAAGTCAGTGATTTACACTTGTAATCCTGAGCTACTCAGGAGGCTGAGATATGATGATTGCATTTGGGAGCTAGCCTGGGCAGGAAAGGCCATGAGACACTTATTGCCAGTAAAGTACTCAGAAAAAGCTGGAAGTGGCACTGTGGCTTAAGTGAATAGCATTGTCCTTGGGCAAAAAAAGTTAGGGACAGTGCCCTGGCCAAGACCTGCACACCCCCCCCCCAAAAAAAAAAGAAAAAAAGTTCTTTGGAATTGTGTTCTAGATGTGAAGAGACTACATGAGCTCACTATAGTTGCCAATCTCTTCCCATCTTTTCCTGAAACAGCTGCTAGGACTTAATAAGGAGGAGAATTTGATATATTTCCTAAGATTAAAAAGATTGCAGCAAAACCTTATATCTGCCAGGTGCTGGTGGCTCACATCTTGAGCAAAGGAGCTCAGAGACAGCACCCTGGTCCTGGATCAAGCCTGATGACCTCCAGAACCTTATATCTTAAACTACTTTGTATTCAGTGTCAACTAGATAGAGTGGGGCAATGAATAAGAGCCCCTGTGAGGTCATATGAGAGTAAGCCTAGGGCTGGGGATGTGGCTTAGTGGTAGAGTGCTTGCCTAGCATGCATGAAGCTCTGGGTTCCATTCCTCAGTACACATAAACAGAAAAAGCCAGAAGTGGGGCTGTAGCTCAAGTGGTAGAGTGCTAGCCTTGAGCAAAAGAAGCTTGGGGACAGCACCTGGGCCTAGAGTTCGAGCTGCAGGACTGGCAAAAAAAAAGAAAAAAGAGTAAGCCCAAGTGGCCTTCTTTCCTTCTGAGCCCGACACTGCTCTCCCATGCTCACCCTGTGGTGGTAGGCTCCTTTCAAAGTATTTCCCATATACTATGTAGAGAGGGCCCCTCTTCAACTTTTTTCCTGATTATTGACTAAATGTGTGTGGGAAGTGCTTGAAATCTGTATTCCATCTTCAATATAGTACATCTTTAACACTCTGCTCTGTTTTTTTCAGGGGTGAGCCCCTCCAGACTCCGGATAGGAGATCAAGAGTTTGATTCATTGCCTGCTTTACTGGAATTCTACAAAATACACTATTTGGACACTACAACATTGATAGAACCAGTTTCCAGATCTAGGCAGAGTAGTGGAGTGATTCTCAGGCCAGAGGAGGCAGAGTATGTGCGAGCCCTCTTTGACTTTAATGGGAATGATGAAGAAGATCTTCCCTTTAAGAAAGGAGACATCCTGAGAATCCGGGATAAGCCTGAAGAGCAGTGGTGGAATGCAGAGGACAGCGAAGGAAAGAGGGGGATGATCCCAGTCCCTTACGTGGAGAAGTATAGACCTGCCTCCGCCTCAGTATCGGCCCTGATTGGAGGTAACCAGGAGGGTTCCCACCCACAGCCACTGGGTGGGCCGGAGCCTGGGCCCTATGCCCAACCCAGCGTCAACACTCCGCTCCCTAACCTCCAGAATGGGCCCATTTATGCCAGGGTTATCCAGAAGCGAGTCCCTAATGCCTACGACAAGACAGCCTTGGCTTTGGAGGTACATAATGTGCAAAATGTAGAAAGAAGAGATCTGCTACAGGGTTTCCCTTTCATACCTCTTAGAGCTTTGTAGGAATGCTGAATACAAGCACCAGCATTATGATGTTGTAGATGTCAAACCATTAAGTACTGATTTTAACATTTAATGTTTGGTTTTCTTTTTATATATATATATATATATAGAAAACCTATTTTACAATGAGTAAACTTAAAACTGTATTACTGAATGTTCTGATTTATCTACTAAACATACTTTGACTAATAACACCTGAGTTCATAAGAATTAACCTAAAATAATTTTTCTCATCTATATCTTAAACTCTATTACTTTCTTTTTTCATTGTCTAAAAGAAGGTGTGTTCACAAAAATTACAGTGTTATAATGGTATGTAGCAAAGCACCTAAGTAGAATTTTCCCACAAAAAAAATGTTTTTCTCTAGGAAATACAAGGTTCCTTACTATGGATTAACTGCATTTGTCAAGAATAAAGGAGTGGGGGGCTGGGAAGGTGGCTCAGTGGTAGAGCGCTTGCCTTGCATGCATGAGGCCCTGGGTTTGATTCCTCAGCACCACATAAGCAGAAAAAAAAAGCCAGAAGTGGCATTGTGGCTCAAGTGGTAGAGCACTAGCGTTGAGCTGAAGAGCTGAGGGACAGTGCCCAGGCCCAGAGTTCAGGCCCCACGACTGGACCCAAAAAAAAAAAAGAATAAAGGAGTGGGGGCTGGGAAGGTGGCTCAGTGGTAGAGTGAAAGAATTGAGTGGGTAGACCACTTGCTAACATGTCCACATTCAGTTCCTACTGTATTGGAAAGCAGTGGAATAATACAGGTGTGAGGAACAGTAGATCTTAGTCTTTGTTGTGTAATGTATTTTATAGTTCTTCCTAAGAGATTAGTTTTTGCCTTTGAGTGACAAGTAGTTATCCTTGGTAGCCTATCTCCAGACCAAACTTGTTTTTTTTTTGTTTTTTTAAGTAAGTTTTTTATTGTGAAAATACTGTACAGAGGGGTTATAATCACATGGACAAGGTAATGAGTACATTTCTTTTTCTTTTTCTTTTTCTTTTTTTGTCAGTCCTGGGGCTTGAACTCGGCCTTGAACGCTGTCCCTCAGGTCTTCAGCTCAAGGCTAGGGCTCTAGGGCTGGGAAGGTGGCTCAGTGGTAGAGTTCTTGCCTTGCACGCATGAGGCCCCGGGTTCGATTCCTCAGCACCACATAAGCAGAAAAAGCTGGAAGTGGCACTATGGCTCAAGTAGTAGAGTGCTAGCCTTGAGCTGAAGAGCTGAGGGACAGCACCCAGGACCAGAGTTCAGGCCCCACAACTGACCAAAAGAAAAAAAAAAAAAGGCTAGGGCTCTACCGCTTGAGCCACAGTGCTACTTCTGGTTTTCTAGTGTTTTTTTTTTTATTGGAGATGAGTCTCACAGACTTTCCTGCTCAGGCTGGCTTTGAACCGCAATCCTCAGATCTCAGCCTCCTGAGTAGCTAGGATTACAGATGTGAGTCATAGGTGCCCAGCTAAGAGTGCATTTCTTATCAAGCATTACCTCCTCCTTTGTTTTTCCCCTACCATCCCTTCCCTCCTATTTCCACAACTACACTTCTCCCCTCCCCCACTGCCTAAATTGTAAAGTTCATTTGGGGGGGGGCAGTCCTAAAGTTCATTTTTCTACATAGTGTCTTGTACATCTCATTGTTGCAATGGGTCAGCCTGTATCCCTATTTAAACAATTTGTTTTTTCCCTTCCGGTCCCCAAATTATACCAACATCAAATACAGTGAAAACAGGGGTTATACCATGGGGGAGGGACATACAAAGCAACAAAACCGTGACCAACCTTTAAAATTTCTTTTGTTGGGCATGGAGCTTGAACTCAGGGCCTGGGTGCTGTCCCTATGCTTTTTTTTTTGGTCGTGGGGCTTGAACTCTGGCCTGGTTGCTGTCCCTCAGCTCTTCAGCTCAAGGCTAGCGCTTACTACTTGAGCCACAGTGCTACTTCCAGTTTTCTGGTGGTTAATTGGAGATAAGAGACTTCCTTACCAGGGCTGGCTTTAAACCATGATTCTCAGATCTCTGCCTCCTGAGTAGCTAGGATTACAGGTGTGGGCCACCGGTGCCCAGCTTCCCTATGCTTTTTTGCTCAAGACTAGCCCTCTTGGAGCCACAGTTCCACTTCTAGTTTTCTGGTGGTTAAGTGGAAATAAGACTGTCTTGGAGTTTTTGGTCTGAGCTGGCTTTGAACCTTGATCTTTTGCTCTCAGTCTCCTCAGTAGGATTATAGATGTGAGCCACTAGCACCTGGCTGAGACTAATTTTTAATCGTATTTGTGCTTTGATTAGCTTTGGGGGGGGGGGGGCGGTAATTGGGGTTGAACTGGGCCAAGAGTTAATAGGAAGGTGTTTTACCACTTGAGTCATCAGCTTTAGTTATTTTGAGAATAGAGTCCATCATTTAATACCTAGGTGTAGTAGACCACTATCCTATTTAAGCTTCCTGCATAGTTGGCATGATATACCTATGCCTCAATGCCAGCTATTTGTTGATATTGTTGATAGCTCTTTTGCCTAAGATTGGCCTGTGTACCACCATCCTTTTGATCTCTACCTTTCAGTAGCTAGATTACAAGTGTAATCTATCACACCAGGGGATTAAGAAGTTTGTTGTTTTATTGGGGGGAAGGGTATTCTAGGATATGAATTCAGGGTCTTGAATTTGGTTGGCTTGCCTACTCAGTTGGTATTCTACTACTTGAGCCATACCTTCAGCCTGACTTTGTGGTTATTTTGGAGATGGAGTATAGTGGACTTTCCTACCCAGACTGGCTTTGAATTGTCATCTCCCAGCCTCAGTCTCCTGAATAGTTAAGATAAAAGATGTGAGCTCCCAGTATCCAGCTTAGATAGTAGTTTTGAGATATGTTTTTCTTTGCTGTAAAAGACATCTTTCAAATTAGAACAAATACCCTTAGAAATAGTGTTAAATCACCTTCTTTAATGTACTTGGAAAAAAAGTTTAGTAGAATAATTCTAGAGTTAGAAAGAACTTTAAAAATCATTCGATAGATGGAAGAAAACTGATGTTAACATAGGTTGAACATGAAATGGTGATATTTAGCACAAGAGGCTGAGAAGGAAATTTTTAGTTTGAGACCAGCTCACCTGGGTACATAGTGACACCCTATCTCAAAAAAGAAAAGTAAAAAGGAACAGGACAGGCTGGATCATTCAGGCTAGTGGAGATGAAAATTCAAAACTTACCATCTTTCACCATAAGAATGCTTCGGCATGGCATATTTGCTGTTAGTTTCCCTCTAGAATTTAAGATACTAGATATTTAATTTTTCTCTACTCAGCAGATTTCTCTAGTAAGTATGAAGACTGGGAAGAACTGAAGCAAGAGTATTCTTCTGCTCACTAAATTTCTATGGGTTGATCAGGAGCCATATCCTGGGGGAATATAATACTAAATAAGGTGGACACTGGGTGCTGTTGAAGAAAGTAGACATGAAATAATGTAGAGATATACTGAAAGTTGGGAAGAATATGGAAATTGATACTAGAATGATATAAGGAAGAACCATTTATTTATTTATTTTTATTTTTTTGTCGGTCATGGGACTTGAACTCTGGGCCTGAGCACTGTCCCTCAGCTCTTCACTCAAGGCTAGTGCTCTACCACTTGAGCTATAGTGCCACTTCCAGTTTTCTGATGGGTTATTGGAGGTAAGAGTTTCGCAGACTTTCCTGCCCAGGCTGGCTTTGAACCGGGATCCTCAGATCTCAGCCTCCTGAGTAGCTAGGATTACAGGCTTGAGCCACTGGTGCCCAGCTATTTATTTTCTTGCCAGTTTTTTTTTTTTTTTTGTCGGTCGTGGGGCCTGAACTCTGGGCCTGGGCGCTGTCTCTCAGCTCTTCAGCTCAAGGCTAACGCTCTACCACTTGAGCCATAGTGCCACTATTGGCTTTTTCTGCTTATGTGGTGCTGAGGAATCGAACCCAGGGCCTCATGCATGCAAGCCAAGCACTGTACCACTGAGCCACTTTGCCAGCCTTGAACCTTTTATTTTTGATGCCAGGACTGAGCCTTGAACTCAAGGTCTCATGGTCTTACTTGGCTTTTTTATTTTTTTTGTCAGTCATGGGGCTTGAACTCTGGGTCTGGGTACTGTCCCTCAGCTTTACAGCTTAAGGCAAGCACTTTACCATTTGAGCCACAGCACCACTTCCAGTTTTCTGGTGGTTAATTGGAGAAAAGAGTCTCATGGACTTTCCATCCCAGGCTGGCTTTGAACCTCAATCCTCAGATCTCAGCCTCCTAAGTAGCTAGGATTAGAGGCGTGAGCCACCAGTGCCCCACAGCCAAGCTTTTTGTAATTGCAGATAGGATCTTTTGGACTTTTCTTCTGGCTTTGAATTTTGATCTCAGTCTCAAGAGTAGCTAGGAATTATCTGTTGTTTGTTTTTGGCCATCCTGGGGCTTGAACTCTGGGCTTGGGCCCAGTCCCTGAGCTCTTCTGCTCAAGGCAAGTACTCTACCACTTGAGCCAAAGCACCTCTTCTGGTTTTCTGCCAGTTTTTGGAGATAAGAGTCTCACAGACTTTCCTGCCTTGACTGGCTTTGAACAGCATTCCTCAATCTCAGCCTCCAGAGTAGCTAGGATTATAGGCATGAGACACCGGCACCTGACTTCTGTGTCTCTCTTGAGTGTTCCCTGAAGTGTGGGCAGCTCCTGGACCAGTTACAGATTTGATTACATCTGTACTAGGTTCACGATTAAGCTAGTTCCTCAAGAGGTAAGAAATAAGTCTCTTGGACTGGGAAGGTGGCTCAGTGGTAGAGCGTTTGCCTTGCATGCTTGAGGCCCTGGGTTCAATTCCTCAGCACCACATAAGCAAAAAAAAAAAAAGCTGGATGTGGTACTGGTTCAACTGATAGAGCGTTAGCCTTGCTGAAGAGCTGAGGGACAGTGCCCAGGCCCAGAGTTCAGAACCATGACTGTACCCCCCAAAAAAGACGTCCTCTTTAGTCCTCTTTACAAAGGACTCCATGATTGGCATGAAGACTTACCCTGAGGATGTATCAGATCAGATTGTTCCTTTTTGGTTTTGAGATAGGTTCTCACTCTGTAGCCCTGTCTGGCTTTTAACTATTAATCCTTCTGTATTAGTCCTGCAAGTGCTGGGATTATACACATGCATCACCAGGCTCGACTAATTTTTCCCTATTTATCACATGGATTTTGAAATTTTGTTGCTACTAACTTTCTTTGTATCTTCAAAAGATACAGAAGTAAATATTTGGTTTTGCATTGTTTGTAGAAATACTACAACTTGCCGGATGCTGGTAGCTCAATGCCTATTATTCTAGCTACTTAGGAGGCTGAGATCTGACGGTCACAGTTCAAAGGCATCCCAGGCAAGAAAGCTGGTGAGACTCATCCCAGTTAACCACCAGAAAACCAGAAGTGGCACTGTAGCTCAAGTGGTACAGTGCTACTACCCTTGAGCAAAAAAGCTCAGAGACAGTGTTTAGACCCTGACAACCCTTACAACCACTTTAGACTGACCTGTAGTTTTTACATAATTACTTAGGAAATTGCGTATAGGCCACTAGGTAAGCTGATTCCTCTAAGTTGAGATCAAGTTGGTTTTAGCAGATGCCCTTGACTTGAACTTGAGTTTACTTTGCCTAGCAGCTATCCTAGACATGTTCACAGAGAACCCCCTTATGGTCTAGGGACTCCTAGACCGTAATTTTAGGGTGCCTGGTATCATAGAAATAGCATAAATGAACTTTGGAGCCAGGATATCTGAATTCAATTACTTTGTGTAATTATTCTGAATCTTCATTTCCTTCTCTAAAATAAAAGTTTCTGTCTGGGTGCCGATGGCTCGTGCCTGTAATCCTAGCTACTCAGGAGGTTAAGATCTAAGGATTACAGCTCAGAACCAGCCCCAACAGGAAAGTTCCTGAAATTCTTATCTCCAAATAAACTACTCAGAGAAAGCCAAAAGTGACACTGTGGCTCAAGTGGTATAGTGCTAGCCTTGAGTAAAGTGAAGCTCAGGGACAGCACCTAGGCTCTGAGTTCAAGACCTACAACCAATGGGGAGGTGGGGGGGCCAGGTACTAGGAATGTAGCTTAGTGGTAGAGTGTTTGCCTAGCATGCATGAAACCCTGGATTCAATTCCTCAGTACTACATAAACAGGGTTTTTGGGTATTTTTTTGGTCGGTCATGGGGCTTGAACTCTGGGCCTGGGCACTGTCCCTGAGCTCTTCAGTTCAAGGCCAGCGCTCTACCACTTGAGCCACAGTGCTACTTCCCCACCTAAACAGAAAATGCTGGAAGTGGTGCTTTGGTTCAAGTGTCAGAGCACTAGCCTTGAGCTAAAGAAGCTCAGGGACAGTGCCCAGGCCCTGAATTAAAGCCCCAGGACTGGCAAAAAGAAAGAAAAAAAATGCTTTTATTGCACTGTAATAATTTGGCAAGCTGTGCACCAGTGTCTCATGCCCATATCCTAGCTACTTAGGAGGCTGAGATCTGAGGATCAAGGTTCAAAGCCAATCCTAGCAGAAAAGACCCTGTGAGACTTATCGCCAATTAACTATTCAAAATCAGGAAGTGGAACTGTGGCTCAAGTGGAAAGTGCTAGCATTGAACACAAAGAGGCACAGGAACAATGCCCAAGACCTGAGTTCAAGCCCCAAAACCGACAAAAAATAATGTGGCATGGGCTGGGAAGGTGGCTCAGTGGTAGAGTGCTTGCCTTGCATGCATGAGGCCCTGGGTTCGATTCTCAGCACCACATAAGCAAAAAGAAAGAAGCCAGAAGTGGCACTGTGGCTCAAGTGGTAGAGTGTTAGCCTTGAGCTGAAGAGCTGAGGGACAGCACTCAGGCCTAGAGTTCAGGCCCCACGACTGGACCCCCCCCCCAAAAAAAAAAAAAATAATAATGTGGCAAACAGTTATTTTATAGAACTAGATGAATAGTTACATTTTGAAGGTACTTATGTACTCAGAACTCAAACCTTGATAACGAAGGGTTGGTTGTGGAGGTTTTGTTGTTTTGGGGTTTTTTTTTGCCAGTCTCAGCCTGGGCACTGTCCCTGACATTTTTGCTCAAGGCTAGCACACTACCACTTGAACCACAGCACCATTTCTGGCTTTTTCTGTGATTAATTTAAGATAATAGTCTCATGGATTTTCTTGGCTGTGCTGGCTTCGAACCACATCAGATCTCAGCCTGCTGAGTCGCTAGGATTACATGCATGATGTGAGCCACTAGTGCCCAGCCCTTGGAGTTCTTTAGTCCAATGACATCTAGGTGTCCATCTGTGTCTCCTTTTCCCCCCAGTTGTAAGGGCCTGGGTGCTATTCCTGAGCACCTCTCTGCTCAAGGTACTCTACCAATTGAACCACAGCACTGCTTCTGGTTTTTGAGTAGTTAATTTGAGATAAGAGTCTCTGGGCCTTTTCTGCCCAGGCTGGCTTGGAACTGCGATCCTGAGGTAGCCTTCTGAGTAGCTAGGATTACCAGCATTAGCCACTGGTGCATCTGGTGAACATTTAGGGTTTTATCTCACCTTTGTTTAATACTTTGCTAGAGTGGATCCATTCATCACTCTGACCCTGACCTAAATTTCATTGTAGGTGCATACTATGTTATTAAAACTGTATTATTTGATGTCACAAGAAACTTTATAAGCAGAAACAAGAATGGTTGGTAGTTAATAATATATAAGGTGATATGATAGTTGATTTGTGTATGTGTGTGCACATGTTTGCATGTGCTTGCTGGTTCTGGGGCTTAAACTCAAGGCTTGGGTATTGTCCCTGAGCTTTTGTGCTCTCTCACTTGAGCCACAGCTCCTCTTCCAGCTTTTTGGTGGTTAATTGGAGATATTGTCTTACCACCTTTCCTGCCCCAACTGCCTAGATCCTCAGTTGTCAGCCCCCTGAATAGCTAGAATTACAGGAATGAGCCACCAGAGCCTGGCTGATAGTTAATGTTGAGCCAGGTGGCATTGAGGGAGCAATGAGGTCTGTTAATAGATGTTGGAGAAGGTGGAGGATTGGGAGGATTTGAAGGTGATAGGATTTGGGGTTTGTGCTTATACCTGCTTGAGTGGGAAAGGGTTTGCCTTGATCTGAAGATAATGAGACATTTCATTTTCTGAGGCCATCTAAAGTATGCTTATCAGGGCTAGGAATGTGGCTTAGTGGTAAAGTGCTTGCCTAGCATGCATGAAGTCTTGGGTTCGATTCCTCAGTATCACATAAACAGAAAATGCCAGAAGCGATGCTGTGGCTCAAGTGATAGAGTGCTATCCTTGAGCAAAAGAAGCTCAGGGACAAGCTCAGGGCAGTACCCAGGCTCTGAGTTCAAGCCCCAAAACTGACCCAAAAAAAAGAAAAGAAAGAAAAGTATGCTTGTCATGTTTCCTCTTGCTGTGCAAACAGTAGCAGCTTGGAGGAATGTATGAGAGTGGGCTGGGGGATTGGGCTTCAGCATATGTCAAGCAAGGGCCAGGCATGAGCTGAGAATAGTGGATATAAGAAAAGTAAGCCATAGAAGTGGCGCTGTGGCTCAAGTGGTAGAGCACTCGCCTTGAGCTGAAAAGCGAAGGGACAGCGCTCAGGCCCAGAGTTCAAGCCCCACGACCAACAAAAAAAAGAAAAGGAGTACTAGCTCACTTAAGTCAGGATTGCTCATCCAGAGAAACTTGAGGTTGGCACAAAAGGATTATTTTCTATGATACTAGGATACTCTACTTTCTGTGTTCTCTGTTTTTCTCTAATGCTAAAAACACTTCTTTTGCCTGCATTAACCATAAGTAACCAGTCTGGTGGCTGGGGCTGGGGAGGAAGTAGTCATTTCTGTAACATCAGCCCTAGAGTAATCACATGGGCAGGGTATGCCTAACCAAAGTGGAGATTTTCAGTTTGCCTTCTTAATTGGAAATAAAGTGCTCTCCTTATTCTCCTCCTGCAGGTCGGTGAGCTGGTAAAGGTTACGAAGATTAATGTGAGTGGTCAGTGGGAAGGGGAGTGTAATGGCAAACGAGGTCACTTCCCATTCACACATGTCCGTCTGCTGGATCAACAGAATCCCGATGAGGACTTCAGCTGAGTATAGCTCAACAAACAGTTTTGCTGACACATGGGAACAATTTTTCTTTCCTCCCCCAGTTGACATCTATACAATTTTCTTACAGGTATCAAAACAGTCTAGTTTATGTAAGCATTCTGTTACCTGTGATCTTTTTTAGACTGAACTACTCCATTCCTACTCTTATTTACCACGTTCAGAGTACGAAACTGGAGGGCTTGTATGGTTAACTTCTGAATTGGCAATTTTTGATGATATTGGTCCTGCCTGTATCAGAAGGGATAGGTATCTTGCCTCCTTTCAGGCAGTGGAGATCAGCTTGTGGCAAACTGATGAACACTGCTTACCCTGAATTGTTCAGTAGTTCTTTCATTCTGAAATCATGCTATCAAATGTTCCCTTCCACCCCATTAAGTAATGCACCATGTGAATAGTATCCAGTGGGATTGCATTTTCACTTATGGAACATGACCATTGTATGACATTTCAAATCCTGAGAAAGTTCTGAGAACACTACTAGAAGCATTTGTCTTCCTTCCCAGTCATTGCTTCAAGCTTTTTCTTAGGATTCTTTCAACTCTTACTTTCTCTTCCTTCAGACCTACAAGCAGGTTAATTCTTAAGGTAATGTGTGTTTTTTTTCCAGAAAAAAAGCAGGATGTTCAGAGCACTTTATTTAGTGCATAGCTTTAAGCCAGTATTGGATTCACTCAGTGAGCAAACTCCTAGCTCTCTGCCTTCCCCTGAGGAGTCATTGTAGGTCCACACTGCTATGGCACCTAAAGAGACTCCTGGCTGATGGGACCTAAAAGGCCATTTCTCCTAGGTGCCAGTATCCTCATAGGAGATGCAGAGTTCTAATTCTCAGATTCTACTTGGAGTGGAAGGACCAATCACTTATACTATTCCATGGAAGGTTTCAGGGCCAAATTCTGCCCTCTGCATTGTGTGCAACTTTTATATAAGGCAAATTAGAATTATATGAGTTTGGGGTAGGGTTAGAGCTTTGAAAAATGTGTGAATCAATCATGAATTAACTATGTATTCATTTTACTTGGCCAGAATAGTATTTGAAGTACATGACATTATAAATTGCCTTTGTTTTTGGTTCTTTTTATATCCAGGTTTAGTTTACAAACCTACATGTAGAATGGCTTATATGGAGTCTCATGCTCCAAAGAATAGACCTATAAGACCAAAAACGATCTAGGCTCTTTTTAACGACAACATGAAACTTTCAAAGTTAGTACCCATTCAATATAGGCACTGGACTCTGGTGTCCTATGACCAATAAAAACATCTATACTTTGCTTCGGACCTCATTTTAGAACAATAATGTATCTTTCTATTATCCTGCATAGGTTATATGATAAATTTGCATTCTTGAAACATACACCAAATCATGGTATTTCAGTGACTAGCACATTGCCTGGAGCACAGTGTGTGCAGCTGTGTGTGAGTGAATGAGGGGAGTGCAGAGCTTGTTACATGGCCCAGGGAAGCCAACTGGTGCGGGATTACAAACCTCATCACAGGCAAACTAATGAGTTGACGCTAATTTATTTTTACCTCACACTAAGGTAATGCTTGATAAAGACAGTAATACTCGACTTATAAAACGTTAGCACAGTGCTATGCACATAGTTGGGTGCTTAATGTTGGATGAACAGATTTGCAATACTCGACATAATTCCACCTGACTACTTGTACATTTCCAGTTAGCGTAGATACTGTAAAATCCAAATACACCTTCAATTTTGTTTTCCTGAAAGTATGGCATCTAAAATATTTGTATAAGATCCTTGTCACAAATGATCTGAATGTTTGTATTTTCTTTTGGCTTTGATATTGGCTGAAAAATGTGTCTCTTCATCCTATGTATTGTTAATGGAACATGCAACTCTACTAAAATGACAAGAACTTCTCAATGATCAGTTGTCTGAAGCCATTACATGAACTCTTGGGTTGGATTGGCGTGGTGTAGCGGTTACTGGACCTCAAGAAATCAAGACTTCGCATAAGTATCTTCCCATAAAAAAGAAATGCTAGGCTCCAAGTTCATATGTACATTGTTACAGAGCAAAGTAAACTGAAATTGGCTGCTATATTTTATATATAATCACTCTGCAAAAGCCCATTTTTTGAATACTAATATTTGACACGTTAATTCTTAATTAATTTGTTGTAATTGTTTATTGTTAATAATGCAAATAGATAATTTTTAATTATCCACAAGTAACATTTCACTATTAATGGTTTGAAATGGGTGAAAAGCAAACCAATTTGAAATAAAATATGAACATGTGCCATTGTATTATAACACTATACACTTTCTTGACAGTTAAATTTTAAAAAAATGTTTTTTTGTAGCATGTATTGTATATGTTTATAGTATATGTAGTAAATAAAAATATGGCCAAATATTTGGCTTGGTGATCTTTTGAAGAAAGTAATCTTTGAATATTTGTCACAAAAGTGCTATTTTCTGTTCTTTTTTGTGGTGCTAAGAATCAAGAACCAGAGCTTTGCAATTGCTAGACAAGTGCTTTGTCACTAAGCTACATCCTCAGCCTATGCATTTTTTGAGACAGATTGTCACTAGATCAGGCTGAACCTATATTCCTCTTGCCTCAGCCTCCTGAATACTGGGATTAAAGGTGTGCATAACCACAGCCAGCCAAAGAGCTGAGTCTTTATGGTAACAGGAAATCATGGTTATATGCCCTCAATAGCCCATCAGTAATCAGGTTAAGTATACGCACTGGTTATAACTAAGGGTGGGATTGATCATTGATTCATTAAAGGATCTCCAGAAGTCAAGAGATACTGATTTGCAGAGATAAGAGAATCATTTTGTATGTAGAAAGGTGTAGGAAGTGGGATGTTGTAGACAGAATAATCAGACTTCTCCAAAAATGGATATCTTTGGGTAGAAGAAAATGAGGATAGGAGCCAGGCACTGGTAGCTCACTCCTGTAATCCTAGCTGCTCAGAGGCTGAGATCTGAGGGTTGTGGTTCAAAGTCAGCCCAGGCTGGAAAGTCCATGAGTCTCATTAACCAACAGAAAACCAGAACTGAGTGATGCAGTGATAGAGTGCTAGCCTTGAGCAAAAGCTTGGGGACAGCGTCCTGGCCCAGAGTTCAAGCCCCTCGGCTGACCAAAAAAGGAGAATGAGGACCTGGTCAGAAACTGTAGAGAAAAAAGAAATTTGGATTTTAAGTAAGAGTGTTAAGATGCTGGTGTAAATACTTTGCCCTTATGTAGATAACACTTGTTCAGTAAGGAAATATAGGTAATAACAAAAACATAGATTGAACATTACCATATTTTCTTATCATCCTTAAGTTATATGTATGAAATTATGCCAGGTGCTGGTAGCTCACACCTGTAATCCTAGCTATTCAGGAGGCTGAGTCACAGGTCAAAGCCAGCCCAGGCAGGAATGTCTGTGAGATAAGTCTTGTCTCCAATAAACCATTGAGAAGGCTGGAAGTGGCTCTGTGGATCAAGTGGTAGAGCACTAGCTTTGAACTGAAGAACTGAGGGACAGTGCCCAGGACCAGAGTTCAAGCCCCATGACCTATCTCTCCCCCGCCTCACCAAAAAAAAAAAAACCAACCTACTAAGAGCACAGTCTCCTAAATTCAAGCTGAAATAACAGCATGTGCACACATATCCTATACCCAAACACGTGAGGTTTAAAAGACAGTGCTGGATAATCCTCCAGGGAAACTAGGAGAACATCAGAAATAAGCATACCTAAAGGCTTTTGGTCAAGAAGATGTTTCCAGTTTTTCCTAACTTTAGGCCTGAATTGATTGCTAGCAAAGTGGAGACTGAAAGCCAGGTGCTGGTGTCTTATGCCTGTAATCCTAGCTACTCAGGAGGCTGAGATCTGAGGATCGCGGTTCAAAGCCAGCCCTAGCAGGAAAGACCGTGAGACTTTTTATCTCCAATAAAATCAGAAAACCGGAAGTGGCGCTGTAGCTCAAGTGGTAGAGTGCTCATCTTGAGCTGAAGAGCTGAGGGACAGCGCCCAGGCCCAGAGTTCAAGCCCCACGAATGACAAAAATAAAAAAGGAGACTGAAATGTTCACTAAATGGTGAAGGATCAGCTAGCTTGTATCCTCTCACCTTATGTCTTCTTGTTTTAAAGTAAGAGATGGTGGACAATTTAGCTTTCTTGGGGAGGGAAGGAGGATGGGTTTGCTTTTTGGGTTTTTTTTTTTTTTTTTGCTGTTATAAGGGTGATGTACAGAGGAGAATGATATTTTATACTTGGAGGTAAGCTTGTTCAAAGCCTCTCCTGTTTCATTTGAATACTCTTCATGCAATTTCTAGCTTCATTTCAGGCTGAGGAGACGTGTCTATTCCAAAGATTTTAAACAACAGGAAGCTAGGAAAGTGGAATCTGGAGGTATGCTTGAACTGGGCACTGTCTCTGAACTTCATTTGCTCAAGGCTAGCAGTCTACCACCACTTGAGCCACAGTGCCACTTCTGTTTTTTTCTGTTTATGTTGTACTGAGGAATCTAACCCAGGGCTTCATGCATGCTAGGCAAGCACTCCACACTAAGCCACATTCCCAGCTCATGGTCTATTGTTGACAAAAAAAAAAAAAAAGGTAGAGCACTTGCCTAACAGACACAAACAGAAAATATATGTTTAGGACTAATTGTGGTACCTACTTGTAATCCTAGCTACTCAAGAGGCAGAGGCAAGAAGATCTTTGTTTAAGGCCAGGCCAAGCAAGGTCAACATGAGATCCTATCAGAAACAAACTGCAAGGGGCTGGGAAGGTGGCTCAGTGGTAGAGCGCTTGCCTTGCATGCCTGAGGCCCTGGGTTCGATTCCCCAGCACCATATAAGCAAAAAGAAAAAAGCCGGAAGTGGCGCTGTAGCTCAAGTGGTAGAGTGCTAGCCTTGAGCTGAAGAGCTGAGGGACAATGCCCAGGCCCAGAGTTCAGGCCCCACGACCGGACCCAAAAAAAAAAAAAAAAAGATTTCAGGGGGCTAGGAAGGTGAATCAGTGGTAGAGCACTTGCCTTGCATGCATGAGGCCCTGGGTTCGATTCCTCAGCACCACATAAGCAAAAAGAAAAAATCTGGAAGTGGCGCTGTGGCTCAAGTGGTAGAGTGCTAGCCTTGAGCTGAAGAGCTGAGGGACAGCGCCCAGGCCCAAAGTTTAGGCCCCATGACCAGACCCCCTCCCCAAAAAAAGAAAGAAAGAAAAAAAAAAGATTTCAGATCACAGGATCAAAAGACATTGTAACAAGAGGAAATTATTTGAGTTATTTGACCATCTTCTATTTAGAATCAAAGCACTCCCTCTATTTTCACTTGTTTCCCCCCAGATGTGTGTGTGTAGCCTCATACTAGGGCTTGAACTCAGGGCCTGGGCATTGTTACTGAGTTGTTTTTTTTTTTTTTTTGGATCCGGTCGTGGGGCCTGATCTCGGGCCTGGGTGCTGTCCCTCAGCTCTTCAGCTCAAGGCTAGTGCTCTACCACTTGAGCCACAGCGCCACTTCCAGCTTTTTTTTTTCTTTTTTGCTTATGTGGTGCTGAGGAATCAAACCCAGGACCTCATGCATGCAAGGCAAGCGCTCTACCACTGAACCACCTTCCCAGCCCGTTACTGAGTTTGGTTGTGTTTTTTTGTTTGTTTGTTTTTTTGCTCAAGCTAGTTCTCTACCACTTGAGCTACAGCTCCATTGCTAGCTTTCTTGATATTTAATGGGAGATAAGAGTCTCACAGACTTTCTTGTCCAGACTGGCTTTGAAACACAATCCTCAGATCTCAGTCTCCTGAGTAGCTAAAATGACAGGCATGAGCCACTGACACCATGCAATTTTTTCTTTTGAATAGTAAGTTGCCTCTGTTTCTTGTGTGCCTTATTAAATATGGCTGTGAGATTAAGTTAATGTCTAGGCCAGCTGCTTCTCCTTCTTTAGCAACCACTGCCATATGATCAGGAGCATTTTGTTGTTACTGCCATGGTGACATTTATATAAGCAAGAATGAAGGGAGATCACTTGTAATTCAGGATGACTTACAGTAAAGTTCATTGAAGTGCAAGGATAAAATACCAACTCCATGTTTTATTTATTTATTTATTTATTTTATTTTTTTGTCAGTCATGGGCTTGAATTCTGAGCTTGGGCACTGTCCCTCAGCTCTTTAGCTCGAGGCGAGCACTCTACTGTTTGAGCCACAGCGCCACTTCCAGTTTTCTGGTGGTTTCACGGTCTTTCCTGCCCGGGCTGGCTTTGAACCATGATCCTCAGATCTCAGCCTCCTAAGTAGCTAAGATTACAGGTGTGAGCCACCAGTGCTCGACCCAACTCCATGTTTTAGAAGCTAGAATTTAGAAAACATGTTCAATGATTTTGATGAGTTCAGTTTTAATCCCTACCACTTTTTTGGGTGTTGGTCATGGGACATGAACTCTGGGACTGGGTGCTGTCCCTCGGCTCTTCAGCTCAAGGCTAGTGCTCTACCACTTGAGCCATAGGGCCACTTCTGGCTTTTTCTGCTTACGTGGTGCTGAAGAATTGAACCCAGGACCTCATGCATGCAAGGCAAGCACTCTACCACTGAGCCACCTTCCTAGCCCCCATTAAAAAAAAAAAATTTTTTGTTGGTCATAGAGCTTGAACTCTGAGCCTGGGCACTGTCTCTCAGCTCTTCAGCTCAAGGCAAGCACCCTACCACTTGAGCAACAGCACCTACTTCCAGCTTTTTCTGTGTATGTGGTGCTGAGGAATTGAACTCAGGGCTTCATACACGCAAGGCAAGCACTCCACCACTGAGCCACCTGCCCAGCCCCCCACTTTTTTTTGTTGTTGTCGGTTGTGGGGCTTGTACGCAAGGCCTGGGTGCTGTTCCTCAGCTCTTCAACTCAAGGCTAGTGCTCTACCACTTGAGCCACAGTGCCACTTCCAGTTTTCTGATGGTTAATTAGAGATTAGAGTCTTACAGGCGGGGCACCAATGGCTCATGCCTTTAATCCTAGCTACTCAGGTGGCTGAGATCTGAGGATCATAGTTCCAAGCCAGCCCAGGCAGGAAAGTCCGTGAGACTCTTAGCTCAAATTAATCACCAGAAAACTGGAAGTGTCTCTGTGGCTCATGGGCTAGAGCACTAGCCTTGAGCTGAAGAGCTAAGGGATGAGGGACAATGCCCAGGCCCAGAGTTCAAGCCCATGACCGACAAAAAATAAATAAATAAAAAAGTCTCCTGGCAGCCGGGAGCTGGTGGCTCACGCCTGTAATCCTAGCTACTCAGGAGGCTGAGATCTGAGGATCGCGGTTCAAAGCCAGCCCGGGCAGGAGAGACCGTGAGACTCCTATCTCCAATAAACCACCAGAAAACCGGAAGTGGCGCCGTAGCTCAAGTGGTAGAGCGCTCGCCTTGAGCTGA